GGCTGGTAGTGGTTAAAATGAATTCTGCTCCATTTGATTTGCACTGGTAACCAACCAAATGTCCACCAAATGCACATAGTATGCCTTTTAGAATTATCCCCAAATAATCAATTTTTATAAATCTGAAGGTGCTAATTTGTATTTTACATACATACATTATCATTGTCACTCTTTTAGAAGTTTTGAAAAATGGCATGCGGAGTTGCATTTTGGTCCATTTCATGAAGAACATGCATTATGTATTAAGGATAGAAACAAGACAGGCATCTACATGTACCTTATTTGTGTCCAGATCTACAAGCCACACATCTTCAGGTAGTTTGAAGTTGGGTTTGTACAAAAAGAAACTAGCTGGAACACCAATGATGAATGGTGTTGGAGCCAACAGCAGCTGAAATAAGTACAGAAAGTGCATGTATATACAAGGACTGGTTACAATCTACACAAAGAATCTACGCAAAGTTTGTGTTTCCAATATGAATACACATGCAAATATTTCACTATATACATACTGTCCAGGTACATGTGTACCACATACAGATGGAAAAAAGAATAAGTCAAATTAAATTTAATTTGCTCACAAAAATATATTTATGTGATTTGTTGACAGACCATACCAATTAGTCTGTATTAACCCTTACCAATGCACTTTATTTCACCGGAATATCCTTTTTTTTCTTTTTTTATTTGTATCTGTTCATCCAACAGTGCACTTAATGCCAATACAGGATGATAATGAGTGAGGAAAGCAATGATGAAATGTTCAGTCTATGAGGTGGGAGGAATCAGCCAAAACATTTACACCTACATGTATATAAAGATGCATTGGAGTCTGAGTCCGTTCTCATAATTCATTACATTTTCTCATTCATCTTTGGACAATATCATTGATATGTTGCTGAAAAATGCAAGACTCACAGATGGGAATTTAACTTTGCAGTGAATGTAGAAAACTGCATTAAAAAATACAGCAAATCAGGAATAACTGACATTGGACAGAACACAATATTTTGTTAGGCTCTTATATTAAACCACAGTATTTGTAAGATCTTAGACAAGTCAAGTGGGTGTCTCATGATGCCTATCAAAATCCTTGGTGTTCCATGTACATGTATACATACATGTAGGTGATTTTAATACAATTAATACCAGCAACATGTACATGTACCAGTAGTCATGCTGATAATCTTGTGCATCACTGAAAAAAGTCCAAATCCATTGAAAACAGGGAAACTACATGTACACTGAGATGATGATATGGTAATCATCTTAGTCAACACAGACTTGAATGTTTTAACAGCTTTTGGGCAAGTCTGTGTACAGTGGAACGTCACTATAAGAAACACGATGGGTTCAGTAAAGCCATTTCAGCCACTGATGCATGCACCTGTTTAAAAATCTGGTCCATATTTAAACATTTGCTGGCTCCCAAAAACTTACAAGCAAAAGGTAATTTAAAAATCCTGCATTTCTGTATAATCTCCTTTCATGTTTCACCTTTCAGGAAGTCCTCACTTGAGGTAGAATCGCAAAACGAAATCAAGTTTTCCTTACATCATCATTTAAACCTAACCCCCTAAGCCCTTTTACAAGTAACCATCCTGAATCTTCCAAAATCCTCTGATTTTCAACGTTCACGCATTAAGCCCAAATCCTCCAAAATTTCGTGAAAATTGGGAAGTGTCATTTGGAGGTGTGCCTAACTGCCCAAATCCTTCAAAATCCTCTAGTAATTTCTGTCATTATGTTGAGGCATTGCGAATAGCACTCTTGAGCTGTGAAGCTGATTCAAAAGAAACATTGGGCTGAATTTGTGCTTGACTAAGCACAAACAACAAAAGGTCTAATCCACAACCTTCATACATAGCATCCTTCAAGATCAGCCATGTACTTTTTCCATACACCCTGAATCCTCTAAATTCTTCCACTTCGCAGTTAAGGATTTGGGAGGGTTAGGGTTTAAATGTGACATGTAAGAAGGTTTACACTGGTTCCTGTTGGTAAAATGGCACTAAGATAAATGGGCTGCTCTGGGAACCATTCAAATACAGTAGCACTGGAAGCACGCTTTTACGTACAAATCGGAAGTGCAACAAAATATCAGGCAAGCATTTTTTAAAACTATCAAAACTAGCAAGATATTTATTAAAGATTTTTGGAAGTTACAGTAAGTAACAAATGCTAGTGACTATCTGGGCATTTATTTAGTGTCAGTTGGTTTTTGAGCTTACACTGTAAATCTTCCAGGTTTGCTGTGATTATTATGCAAGGTTTCTGTACCAGAGTCACCAGAATTGCATGGTACATACGAATACACATGTCCGCCTGTGAACACGTGCTACATGTACATGTATGTATGCTACCCACTAATACAGAGGGCACCCTATGTTGTCCATTGTTCCATCGTGAGTGGACTTTTCCTCAACGTTGAGTCATTATCATCAGTTCTAAATATGTTTCCTTTAAAACAAATCTGTAATATTTGGTTAAAAGTGCCCTGAAAATTTGGGAGCTAAGAGAGAGGTTTGGCATTCCTGAATGTGAATGACATGAATGTTCGGTATAGCAGTGTTCATTATAAATATCATGAATATATTTATGATACCAGGCAGCCAAGTTACATGTACGTGTATATTATCACCATTTCCAAGAAGGGGCAGGCAAGTGGATTTTGAAGAAAATTAGTTTTCTAGATAATAACAAGAGCAGTTGTCTTTTTCTTAAAAACTGCAAAAACTACATGTACATGTACAGTGTACATGTATGTACTACTTTGCAACAACTTCAAACAGCAAGGAAACCTTCACATAATTCTTTGAATAGTAAACTTTACGTGAACCCAGTAGTTTATCAGCTGAAATTGAATAAGTAAAGATGCCAATCAGGTCATGAAAACAAACATCCTGTTCTCATACGTTTATGCCCCTCTGTTAAATGTGTTTTCCACTGGGAAGGGACAAGTACAAGTTTGTTTATACAGGTACATGCATATGCAAAGCTCAGAAAATAACAAAGGTGCCTGTCCCTTCATGAAACAAAAATCTCAGTTGACTTATTGTAGTTTGAAGTCTTTCCAGACAATGCTTTTTGTTTAAGGGGCAGGTACACATGTTTGAATCTGTATGAGAATGCAAAATGCAGTTATTGAGATGCCTGCACCTACATGTATGGTTTGCTTACAAGAAGCATATCAAAATGGTCAGGTACATGTAAGTTGCTTTAACTTTTTACTAAAAAAGGAATTTAAAAAATTGCCATTTTTGACATGTTGGTACCTTTGTGAAATTTTGACAACATGATATACATCATGTACAGACAAGTACAAAATAACAAAGCTTAAGTTACAACTATTAAAAGAACCCCAAGAAGTTTTACATCATGAGATCTAAGAATCAAGTGCCGGTACGAAACAGTTTTGCCATCAAGACCTCCCATGACCCACACAGAATTCCACAAGATCAAAAGACTCTTGACCAAGTCCCAGTCACAAGCAAAGAAAATGAACAGCAACAAACCATATGATACTGTGTTGTGCATCTCCTGAACTACACACATTTACGTGTAAGTTCTCTCAATGCTGAACAAAAACTAAAATTCAAGTTGAACTGTATTCTGTGATCAAAACAACATGGGTGTGAAGAGAACTTTCTGCCTACCTGTTCTGCTGAACCCATGCATGTTGGCAACAATGGAATAACTGGAAACATGTACTCCAAGGGATAAATCATGGCAACAAATGCCATAACACTCATGGAAAGAGCATTGTAATCACGTGATTGCAGAACAACCTACAGGGTAAGAGAAAAGGGGAACAAAATCAATCCTATGTTTATAAGCCTAGCCCATGCTACTGTTAAAGAACTTCTGAAATTTTGGGGGGGATTCTCTGAGAATTTGTCAAGAGCACCAGGTCACTCAGCTGAATTCTTGCTTAATTTCCGGCCACCAACCTGTTTGAATTTCAAATGAAATTCCACAACACTGAACATGCTGAAAGCGTTCACAAAGGTTAAAAAGCCTGAACCATGAAGATATTAGTGTCAGTTTGTAACAAAGTGGATTTGAAGTTTGGCAGCACTACAAAGAAAGTCAAGTAAATGTCAAGTGCACCATGTACAAAATGTAATATTCTGTATGTCCTAGTACATGTACATGTGTACATGTACCGGTACATGTACTAGTGCTTCAGCAGTGCAGTGCGTGTGATGACATAAGCCCTTGACATCATCAGCACCATAGTGCAACTAATACTCCGCGTGGGTTCCAAAAATTACAGCATTTGCATGAATTCTCAAATAAAAAACCTTTATCAAAAGTCTTTCACTTCCATCAACCATACCAATGTTCCAAGAAAGTTCAGAACATTTTTAGAGTATTTTTGATTTGCATCCAACACAGAAACAAATTATGGCAACCATGGCAACTGGTACAGTTTCTACACATAATGTAATGGATTAAAGAGGCAAGGAAAGGCAAACCTTCTTTCCCAATTTACAACCTTTCAAGAAGAGGTGACAAAGCCATCTTCCAAACTTAACATGAGAAAATGGAACAGTTTTCCCATTATGATAAAAAAGGGCTTCCCCGAGTCCCTTTTTCGCCGATTCCCATGACCCCAAAAAACATCATGGGGAGATAAGGCTGTAAACACGGTGCGTCTTCACACACAAGTCTCGTGGGAGAAGCATGCTCAAAATGCAGTGTTCTTGCACAGTTTTTGTCCACTATGTTGTTTCCTACATCAAGTTTAAGTGCATGATTTGTTGTGTTTTTGTCATAAAATAAAACATATCCCGATCTTGTGCAGTTCAGACAGGGAGTCTCATACACTGAGACTTGGTCCCGAGGTTTGTGTGCAGTAATGCGTAGAATCGATCGTTCCGGGACAACACATTATGGGTAGGTTTTAAATCTTCCTGATTGTCAAAGATCAGTAATATTGTAGTATTTTTTTGTTGAGTCCAGGGATGGACGGAAGGCTTCACACCACGTTGGGGTTGCTCGCACTGATCGCCGAAGTTTATTCCTACAAGCAGTGGTCACGGTGATTTATTTTACATGTTAAAAAGAAACCTATGGCAGAAGAAATAAATTTATCAACCACATTAATTGCTGTTACAGAATTAAGCCCACCATGGTTTTCAGTTTATACAGAGTTTAACCCCAAAATTAACTTATGATTGATTAAGACAAACCCTTACCAACCAATCCTCTTTGTAAAGCTTTAAATTACAGTCGGCCAACCATTCATTCTACGGAAACATCTGTACGTGACCAAACGTGGAGGGAAATCCTAACAAAATGTACATGTAGGCAAGGCCCAAGCACTGAGGCACTCTTACTCCGCCCCTTCTGTATGACCTTGCTTAACCACTTGCTGCCGGATGCTTTTTTTAACTGTTACATGTGCTGCCGGGCGGTTTTTTCATATTTTCGTTTTT